TATTTTGATATCCTTGAGCAGTGGATCTACAAAGGGATCATCAATGATCCTTACTCAGAGGTACTTGTTATTGTTTTACTGYCAACAGTATGTTTATCAAACACAGTAATGATTACAAGGTTATTTAGAGAAATGATTGGGAATAATGATTGTGATTTTGATGTTTTTTTCAGTTTCTAGTGGCAGAACATGGCTCAGTACAGAAAGAAAAACTCACAGAAGACTACAATGATGAATATCCTTTACAAAAGATTATTTACTAGCATTAATAGGGCGTTTGCATTATGATGTAACTTTACTACAAACTACCAGAGAGCCTTGAGCATTTTCATTGTTATTCAGACTTTTAATCCCATTGGAGATTAATAAAACAATTGGCACTAATTGCATTACAAAAGAAAGTTGGCAAAGCATTCTGGTAGTTGTAGTAAATGACAGCATAATGCATATCACCTATTGAATTGTAATACCCTGAATAATAGCCAAATTAAGTATAAATGGTCAATTTGATGACATTCACATTCAATTACCAAGAATGGTATATATTATTTAAACTCATCAGTACAGATGAGGATGAGCAGAGGTGCCGAGACAGGTGGTCACGCCACAGACCAACCTGACAGGAGATGTCCATGGTAACAACGCATGGACCACCACGTGACACCTGTCACACTGTAAAACAGTGGAATTTACACTTACTTACCCCAGCGGAGGGTGGGAGGGAACACCCTCCCACAGCAAGCAAGCAAGCAAAGCACAGCAAGCAAGCAAGCAAGCAGCAAACACCATGTGAACCTGCAAGCAATGTAAATCCATCATGCCAATGCATGCAAGCCAGCTACGTAACCAGGCTAGAGTGCATTGATATTAACTTAGCCTTGTAAATGTACATTTAGCCTCATTTAATTTTTCTGGTTTTCCATCCTTAACACTTAGTAGTTATTGGGAGCAGCGTTACACTGTTGTAAGGGAGAACATCCCAATATTCTTAGAGAAGGTACATTCACTAACAATAGTTCATTATTAATGAGCAATACAAAACCAAATGCAGGAATTTTCAACATGGATGCTGTTGCATTTGGATTTGTGCTGTTTGTGTGAACCATACTCTAACAAAGAATCAGTGTTATCAGATATGAACTAATACACAAATAATTGATTTAATGAATCATTTGCTACTGATTTTAGGTTGCACAGAATATTCTTAGTACTGGGAAATACTTGAATGTCATCAGACAGTGTGGTAAGTCCCTTGTGATATAACGTTCAGAGTGAGAAGTAGGCATTATGAAAATTTCTTTGTTATGTTCTCAGGTCGTGATGTGAGATGTCCAGATGCAGAAGAGATCATCTATACACTAAGAGAAAGAGAGTATGTGGACAAAATAGAAAAGGCATAYAACTATGCCAGTAAGACATTATTGAATGTATTGATGGATGAAAAGGAACTTATGGCCAGGCTTGGGTGAGTGTGTTYWCTTGCTTGTTGCAGTATTGAGCTGTACGTTTATCCCTTCCGTTTATCCYATCCATTTATCAGCTTCTTCTTCATCCATTGTCTTCTTCACCTTTTCCCTTCATTTTCTGTCAATCATTCATCCATATTTTCTTTAATCCATACATTCATTTTATTAGGCATTAATTTCATCCAAAACTGTTTTTCAATTTTTCTACAGATCTATCAAACACTACTTCCTTATGGACCTTGGGGACTTCTTTGTGCAGTTTATGGACCTTGCAGAAGATGAGATGAGAAAAAATATGGATGGTATTTTGATATTATTGTTGTTTAATGTTTAGTGAAAGTTTTTTCTTGAGCTTCGCTATTGTTTTTTCCACTTTTTACCTCTTATTACGTTTAGTTCTATTTTGATCATTTCTTTGTTTCTTTACCGTTCAAGATATTGTTCCATCTCGTCTTGAAGCACTTCTGGAGTTAGCATTACGGACCAGTACAGCAAACAGCGATCCGTACAAAGATGATCTCAGGTTTGTGTCTGTTGATGTGTTTTATGCAAACAACAACAACAACAACAACAACAACTACTAAAACATTTACAACAGAAACAACAACAACAACTAAAACAACTACAACATTAACAACAGCAACAACAACTACTACAACAACTAAAACAACTACAACAATAGCAATAGCAACAACAACAAAATTTAAAGACAAATTAATAAAATGTATGAGATGGAATGTTCTATAATGATCTTATAACCAGTCTGCTATTGAGAAAGTTAGAAGATAATGCTAATCACATAAAAATTAATAACATTGATAATACTTTTTTTCCAGGACAGAGCTTCTACCCTATGACCTCATAACGCAATTATTCCGAATATTGTCTGTTGCCTACGACAGCAGAGGTAAATATCATTTTTTGGTTTGTTTGTTTGTTGGTACAATATCCTAATGGACGTCTATCCTCTTTACAGGCACCTCAACTGCTTTTCAGCAGGATCCAACAGAACTTCAGATTTCAGGTATAGCTTTGATTGTCTTGTTCTCTTGTGTGTGTTTTTGTTTCTAGCTATACTACTAGTGGTTTAGTGGATTGGACGCTTGTTGGTGATTCAGTTAATGTGTTTGATTGTTAAGACATAGAAATACGCGATACAAAACCGCTGAACATGTCGCGTAAAGTTCTTGCTGTTCATCTTTTTCGTCCACGTTTCACTTTTTTCTGAGAACTGGTAACTTGTCCCATAAAAACGAGAAACACTGAAGCTAAATTTGGACAACAACAATTTTACGAGACAAGTTGAGGTTTTTTTCTTGCATCTCTTCATTTCTCTGCTGTCCTTTAGGCTTGTGATTTTTTTTGGTTGATTTGTTAGTTGATGCGTTCTTTGCATAGTGTGACTAGTTGCCTATAGATTAGCTGGTTGTGGCATGTTATAGATTTGTTAGTTAATTGTCTTTATAAATCCATTCTTGGCTTTGCTGTTTTTAGGTCTAGAGGCTTTCTCATTTGACTATGACGTCAAGTGGCCTGTCTCCTTGATATTGAGCAAAAAGGTAATGCCTTAAAACATGGAAAGTACGACGTCTGACCAGGAGATTACTAATCGTGTGTTCATATCACTGATAGGCGCTTACAAAATACCAAATGCTCTTCAGACACTTGTTTTATTCCAAGCATGTAGAGAGACAGCTCTGCAGGTGAGATGACTACAACSTCTTGTCTTGTATTTTGATAGCAGTTTTGACCTCTATTACCATCCTTTGTAGTGTGTGGCTTAACAACAAGAAGGCTAAACAGTTTACTCTTCATTCTTCTCCATGGTAAGTAACGGACTTGTACAGGGAATAGTAGGATTCTGGRAGTTAAAYTAAAGAACMAATCGTAATCGATGATTTTTGGTTTATCAGGTATGCAGCAGCGTTTGCCTTACGACAACGCATGCTCCACTTTGTCCAAACCTTTGAACACTACATGATGTTCGAGGTACTRGAACCTAACTGGCACTTGATGAAGAAAAGCCTTGAGGAGGTTAGTTAAAACAATATACCGCATTGTGCTATTTAACGATATTTGCACCTCCCTGAGAAAATATACTTAACTACCCAAATACAATATTCCTGACAGGTAACGAATATCGATGGCGTGCTGGAGCATCACAATGATTTCCTGGATAGATGTCTTAAAGACTGTATGCTGACTAATCCTGATTTACTCAAGGTAATCCGCCATTACGAAACTACTTACCTCTGTACATAGACCTTTCCTGAACCTCACCGTTACTCCTTGAAATTGCCCTATGCTCCATGACGCGTGGTCCTTGCGATCCCATTCTCTTTAAGCAAACGCTAAGTTGCATTATACACTGAAGGAATGATGTATTGACGAAATTATAGAGATTAAAAATGTTCATGTCATATTGATTATTATCATACCACTTTTGTTCCCTGAACGTTTTTGGCTGAAAAAGTGAATCTGCTGTAATTTGGCGCCTTATTTATTTCAATTATAATAGAGAATCGACGTTGCTTGTGTAACATAACTGATATACAGTTGATTGTTTACGTGTTTGTTTAGAATGTCAGCAAGTTGTTATTGGTCTGCGTGACATTTACAAACTGTATGCAAGTAAGTACGAAACTTGTCTCGCACATTTTAAGATCGAAGTAAGATATAGGGAGGGGTGGTCATGGTACTAAATGATAATTTTATTCATAGCGATTCACTCAAAGTGCAAGTGCAGAATTTATCAGTGAAGAGCCTGGACAGAGTCCTATGAGCAAGAAAGGACCTCCACCTGGTGAAGAACAACAAAGAAAAACTGCTGTCAAGGTATATTGGAATTATAGTGGAATGTTCTTAGAATTACACAATTCAACGTTAGATAATGCCCATTAGAAAGCTACAAGTTTGCAGACATGTGATCATTGGTTTAGTGAGATGATGTTGAAAGCAATTTTATCTGTTCTCAAGTATCCCCTCCATCTTCCCCTATTGTTCGTTTCAGCTATCCATTTCTCCTTATGTTCATTTGTTCATTCATTCAGTTTATAGTCCATCCATCTGCTCATTCATTTGTCCATTTGTAAACTTGTCAATTATTGTTATGATCATTCATTCTCACTAGCTCATGAATTCATTTATTATTCGCACCAAACATTCACAAATTCACAAATACATTTACCAATACATTCA